TAACTGCAATATTAGTTTTGCTCCACCTATATATGAAGTTTAAAAAATCTCTAATGTTTCACAATAAAAGAACAACATAATCAAAATATTAAGATCTAATTTCATGCATCATTTATGTTGCAGGACGTAAGTAAGTGGAAGGCAGTTTTTCTATAATATGTAGGGTATAAGTTATGATAATGTGTACAAGACAAGAGCTGGGGTATGATTTATTGTCAAATTGCCTCAGATATAGCCTACTTAGAAAAATTACTATCAAGGAAGTCATGATAATCATGCAATTTTAAGTCTTTTACTATATAGAAATCATTAAATATAAGTAATATTATGGATGGATAGATGGTTGTATTTTCACAGATTTCTGATTTCCTCCACATCAAAAAGTGTTTGTGTTAATATACTTTTAGCCAACTTAGTGCTATTGCTTTCTTTAGTTGATGAAAGTTAGCAATAATATCCAGGGGAAGAGAGAATGTATTCAGTTGGTACTACACTACTCAGACTAAGATCCATCCAATAAAAAAAATCACTTACCTTTGAAGAATTTTCTACTAAGCACAGAAACACAACATCTTCCCTCTGCAACCTGACAGCTGTGTGTAGTGGATACTGTGTCTTGTTCTTCAACATTTTGTATAAGAGGGGACCATTCATATGTTCAAAGTCTGATGAATTCAGGTCATCCCAATGGACTGATATAAGACCTGAGCAGTACTCCAGCAGATTGGATGCTTCTGTTTCTTCTGCTACTGAATAAAATTTCACACATGATCTGAAAGAATAACAGATATTTATGTAAGAATCAGCATAAATCATCAGATTCACTATTAAAAAGCTGCTCTAAATCAAAGCAACATCCAGGCCTATTTGTAAGCCATTAGTTACAAGTTGCTGACAACTTGCCAACATCCAAGATAAAAATCCATATATTGGTTTAAAGCATGATTTTTAAAACAGTTTTCTGGTCTAGGATCCCACCTACCTACAAAAATTGCATTGCTTTTTTAAGAAATGTATAAGGTTGATTATTAAATTTTACACTGTTTCCTGTTAAAACATCAACATTTTTGAACCAATAAACCTAATCATATTTACCTGATGGTCACAACAGATATGAGGAACTGCTCACATAACTCTACTAAATTCTCAAGCTTGAAGTCATGAGCCTTTTAATCAGCTTCAGAGCTAATCCAGATGATGTTAAATCCAGATTGCTGGTATAAATCCAACTGATTATGGCCATAGCAACTTCAGTCTCTATATCTGACCAATCGAGTTCCTTTCTATTACTGAGCATAGATTCATTCCATAAATTGCTTCTTGCGCTTAATACTAGCTTATGTGCCTTCATCTTTTCTTCTTTCAGGATAATATCAATATCACTGTATGTTTCAGAGTTATACAGGCTGCTAACAGTCTTCAACAGTCTAGATGCAAATGTATCATCTGTGCCTTTTCCATTTGATGCTGAGATGGCATTGTACTTGAATTCAACATCATGATATTTCGTCTGCAGCTTTGAGTATTCCTGCTTAGTAATGACAGGTGTTGCTGCAACTTAGCAACTTCAGTGGCTTGATCTGGAATGTGTTCCTTAAGATAATCACAGGAAATTACACAATGGTGATTGTTGGAAAGTGATTCATCTAACCACCAGCTTGGGTAGCTAAAGGAATTAATTGCCATGCATAGATTAATATGCGTATAATGCCGTAATACACATTTCCACAGTTATAACAGCAAACATGGAAAACAGGATCACTTTAGTCTAATCAATTTCAATTGTTCAAAAGAAAATATGAAAAACGCAGCGGACTAAATTAATATTAATGGTCGGATATGCTTACCCATTTCCAAAATTCTCATGAGAGAGAGAACGGTTTATCAATTAACTGATATAATCGTAAATGCCATTTTTTCCTACACCGCCCTCAAAAATGTTTATAAACATAACCTCTACAGAATGTCACTGGTAGTCTGTCAGTTGACATCTGTCAAAAAGAAAACCGTACCGCGTTTGAATGAAGGTGTGAACGAACCATATCGTTACCCGTTACCACCCAAATTCGATCATAGACGTATCATGGCACGCTAGTCCAGCTGCACAGGTCTCCGGATTGATAGTGGTCCCTAAATGTCAAAAATTAAAAAATGGAAACTCAAAAATTCCCAGTACCTCCCGCTCTTCAATTTTTCCTAACGACAAAGTGAGCACCGGTACGGGTAAAAATGTAAACAAGCCATAAACCTCCAAAAAACCTATAAGACGTCATCTTGTAGACTAGGTAGTAATCAATCCAAGCGAATAACCAAAATTTCTGTGTTATGTACCGCGGTTATAATATGGTTCAAGATGACACACGGGTTGATGACGTCAGTTACACGAATCGCTTGAACGCGTTGGTTTTAACCGCGGTTTTGTTGCAAGTTGTTTATTTTAGAAAGCGCGTATATAATCTCTGATTGTTTTTATTATCACTTAATAATCGGTGCTTTTTCGTCTACAACTGTATATGGAAAGTTTAAATAAGAAACCTTTCATAATATTCATGGGAGAAATGTTTTTTCAGATTTTTTTTTAATGATGGTACCATGGCTTTGTAGCTATGATAACTATCAATTCTCTAAATTTTCCGCATGTCAAAGAAAACATTTATTTGATTCAGCAGAAATGATGAAAAAATAAATTAGCAAAACCGTATACAGGTGGATATCATCTAGTGAGTTTATATGGCCATATTTTAATATCCTTGTGTGTATGGCTACACAGGATACTTTGTTAAGCATAGGAACTACATTTAAAGTGTCCCCCAACAACTGTAATGAGTATAACTAATAAGATGCTCCACTTTATGGTAAAACTGAAGTCAGCCTGTATCATTTTTCTCAATAATGAAGCTGAAGTACAATAACAATATCCAATACCCGGTAAAATTCTAACTTGTCACATTTCAAATAATAACCAGAAATATAAAACTACTCTTGAGTTGGGTAAAAACCACAATTTTGCGGTGATAACTATGACATATAACAGCTGATTCGTGACGTCACGGATCTTATAACCAAACTGATAACTACACTCGCTTGAACGGATTGGTAAATACCAACCCAAAATGGTAAATACCATTTCCATTTGGTTATCCGCTTGAATTTGATTAGTGTTTAGGGTGCAAACAGTAGAAAATAATGGCAACGACCTGCAGTTCATCGCAGATGAAATTGCCATTGCTCCATTATTTGAAAAAGTCACAAGTTCCAAAAATAAAAATGGGAAAGGACGATGCCTTGAAGATGTTGAAAAAATACGAATCAACATTCGGTAAACCATTAGATACTAAAGGCTTATAAAAAAATCAACAACATGAAATCAAGATTGAAGAAAAGAACAGATCCAAAAAAAAAACTGGTAATAAAGCAATTAAATGTTAGATTGGGAAAGAAAGTTGCTGAAAGCTGTGGAAGGTGACTGTAATCCTACAATTGGAAAATTAGAGGTGCCATTCAGGTGGTAGTGTTCAAGAAGAAGGAAGTGAACTATATACCGAGCGCAGTGAGCAATTCAGAAGACATTGCCAGCAAAAAAAATTAGCAATAGAGAAATGCGAAACTGAGGAACCAAAGGGTTAAATACAAAGGAACTACAACGTCTAGTGCTATTACAGCAGTACCGAACAAGCATTTCACAAAAAGAGTACCTATTATAAAACGAAATTAGAAATTATGCAACGTCAGAAGCCACCTGTAACTTAAGATGTTCAAGAAAATAAAACTTATTATAACTTATAAATACACTTAATCAGTAAAACTATTTATTACAATACTCAAGTTTTCTTCTTATTTGTTGACCTAGTTGGCGGAGAGGAAGTTCGTCATTCTCATGATTTCCTTCATCTCCATCTGGGTCTGTTCAACCAACTCAAAGTCAGGATCGCCCAGCTCTTCGCAACATTATGGAGTAAAATACAAGCAATAATTATTTTCGGCACATTTTCCAACTTTACGCGCAAACATACTGTAGAATAGAAACCGGTGTTTCAATTATCCGAAACAGCGTTTAATTATAACTCTTTCTTTTTGTAAAGCTTATTATAATTTATTTCTGCACCTGGCGTAGGATTTCTGAAGGGAGTCATAAGGCATGACTCAATACCATAACCGTCATCGCCAAGTAGTACAAACATTTGCTTTATTTATTAGTTGTGATCTAGTCTGTGAGTTTCTCCATATTCTGGAATCATGCACTGATCCAGGTCAACTGACATCAACACTTGTGAACATATCTCTGGCATCACAAGTGGCTTGCACATTTAAAGTAGGTTTCCCTTTTAGGTGATATACTCATCTGCATGGCGATTTGGTTCCAGGATTCCTATATGTGTACAATTAATTACACCAATTGCTGTCGGAAATTTATACATGCCTCGCCAAATCCGCTTGGCCTCCATCAGTTCATGGTTGGTAGTGGATACTTGATCCATTCGTTCGACTGGGCAACTATGCTGTTCACAACTCTATCCACAGTCCGAGATACCGTTGCTTGACTAACACCAAGTTCCTGACCAATACCTTGTTGATATCCAGGGTCACCGAGATAGCGTAGGACATATCTTCATTTTATGAATACATGAAAGTGCTCCTCCTCGAGTTTCCTCATTCTCAACTAAAAATCTGTCCGCAAGCCATTGTACATTTGCTTCGTCGAACCGATATAATTTTTTCTTTTATGAATACGCATTAGCACGCAAATCCTCACTATGTCGTTACCTATAGTAATGCATTCTCTGACGCAGATTTTACATCACATCATAGCCAACGTTGATAACTGAAGCCTCATGACGTTTACATAATGTTAAAAAAAAATCCAGTATAAAGTAAAAAAAATCGAATAACGTCACTTTTCAAGATACGTAATACCAGTGCGATTTTGCCTCTTTTCTGGCGTCCTGGCGTATTTCTTTTCCCTTTAGCACGCCACTGCAGGATTAAGGCAGTCGCTCCTAGCCGGTCATCAAAACGCATTACAGAACGCATTACAAACAACATACCGAGTGATAACCTTTATGTCATTTTCAATTTAAAAATAATCTAAAGGCTTTCAATAATGGCCACCCTCAAATATCTTCAGAAAATTCCCAGTAACATAAGGTAGATATTTTATTTAAGATTTTACAAGCCGACTAACCAATTTTGTTGTATAAATGCAGGTCAGTTGGAACCACTCCGGCGAATAAAGATGCCTGGCTTTCAAAGATATTCGTGAGGAAAATTGAGCCGACCAAGGAATCACATAGCCGTATGCTCAGCGATAAAGAAATAATTTACTCTTTGCAGACACATAACTATAGGCCAGACTCAAAAATCCCATATTTGAACAATGTGTAAGTAACTATTTGCAAGAAAAATAATCTAGATAGCTACAAACCAATGTAAACAATATCATTGCAAAATCATTGCTACATGTTTATAAGTAATCTTTATGTTGTTTTTAAGCCATTGTTTATCATGATAATTTATATTGTTTTTGAAAACAATAAATGCAAACAATTGAAAGTTTAGGAGATACAAGATATTTTTAAAAGTTTTTACATGTCTCAAGCATGAATTAATGGTACTTCTATGTTTGTACATATTTTATCATGATTAACTGGTTAATCAAAATTCAATGCCTCTATTGAATCTGTTCATCATAAGAGTGCACTCCTGTTAGAATACAGCTTTGTTTTAGTGGAATAAAACAAGTTGTGTGTTTATGTACGAGGTATTAATGAAATACATTTTTATATGGCAACTGTTCAGGATATTGCATGGATCATCTGCCTGCCACAGCTCCATCTAGTAACATGAGTTCAAGAAGCTTAATTTTCCATGACTGTGACATCGATAATAATGTGGTCAAATCATATAGTCTTGGTGTTAAATTCATATCACCTCTGCACGAGTATCCTACCTTCAGTCGATTCATGCAAATTGTCTATTATGGTACCCTTTATGTGGCATGTAGCATCAACATGTCATCCATGTTGTTCAATTCAGCCAAAAAAGTTGACACAATCTAGTCCAAGTCAAGTGCTCAAGTTTAGTTTAGGTAATCATGATCAACTTTATTACTTCAAATAGAAATCCCTATTTTTGATGCCGGGAGCGGAAAATTTTACGTTCAAATACGAATTGAAGGCCACTAAAGGTCAAATGTGTGCTGCTAGGATAACCACTATGAATCTTACAGGATTAGTGATGAGAATAAGCGCCAAGGTCTGTTCTTTGGTAAATTTTGTCTAGTGATCTTGGATTTGTCCTTGAACCTCATTTTCAAGGTCATTTTCGAAAATAGAAACCCGCAGAAACAGTATTGGTTAAAAATCATTTGTAACAAGCACCGTAGTTCCCTCGTTGAAACTTACCCAAACTCGATTTTTTTAATGAAAACCCCTATTTTTTCGGAAGTGCGGGAAATTTTTTCGAATATGTATTAGAATTCAAGATCAAGATGAGTGCGGGAGGCCAAGTAGGTTAAACAAGGTCAAATACACCCTATTTCACGAGTATCTATCACGGTAGAATAACAGCTGGTTATCTAGTATTATATCAAAATTCCCCATATCGGCACAGGACACATAATTCTGACTTATCCATGAACACCAGGTAGAGCCTAATTTTTGTTTTGTTTTTTGTAGGCTACAGATTCATTTGCTACTTGCCAACAGCTCTTTTATTTAGAAAGGTTCATTTGCATACAAAAAAAAAACACTATAAACAGGTTTTACTAGATTTACATCCTAAAGAATGATGATTCTAAAACAGTTTTTGGAGATATCTGTGGAGGCGGAACTGAAACTCAGAAAATTAATTGTTAGTGAACTTTATACAAAAAATATCCACTAGATTAACATCGTCTTGTGATTTGTAGCAAGAGACTGTTGATTATATAAAAGCCCAGATAGCCTTTCAAAAGAGGTAGAGCTAGTGGGATCATGGACAGTCAATGTTGGTGATCAAGATCAAGCATTGCATTTATGGAAATTCACTGGTTGGTGTTATGAAAAAATTGATACCTTTAATGAGTTCTTAGGAAAAAGTGAGGTGTGTTTTTTATATTGCTAAGGTTTGTTTTATATACCGGGTGTTCCAAATTCAGATGCTCACCTTTGGCATCTCGGAAGCTGTAGGAGATACGAAGTCGCTTAAATGGGGGCATGCAATTAATGAAATGTTGCTTAGAAGTTTCGAAATTCAAAGTACTTCGGGAGAGAGACGGAAAAACCGAATTTTCCAAAAATTTTAATTTTTTCCCGATTATTTGTAGTTGAACTTCAAAATAAATTGCCTTTTAAACGTTGACACTTTTTCTCCTATACAAGATGGCATAATTAGAATTCAATATGATGTTTCGTCTCCTATCCTATATTGGATTTTTTGCGTAGATGAAAGTTTTAGTTCTGATTCCAAAAATTATATAATATGTCATGCATGGACAATACCAACCTTAGTTATTTCAAAAAATAGCATTACCTAGGTAGGCCTAAAATTATCAGATAGTTCCTTTTTGTTCATATACCAGATTCATTGAAACAAACGATTATTTCCTGGTGTTGTTTTTTTTTGAATTTGAAACACCCGGGTTTACTAGTATAATGTTCAGATTTAATTTCTGACTGTAATTGGAAAACATGTTTAAATAAGTATACTAAGTGACATATAAATCCGAACACCAGTGTAAATGGTTTTATTTAATAAAATTTTGTACAAGTACTTAATGAAGCATAATAAAGTAAATGATAAAAATTTCAAATGATTGCACTGCTTTAAAGCCCTTTGAACCTTTAATAATGGTGGATGCACCCTGATGTGCTACGCATTCTCCAACGCGCCTAGGCATGCTTCTGATCAGGTGGTCAATGTCCTCCTGTGGTATCTCATTCCAGGCAACCACCAACTTGTCTCGAAGTGCTTCTAGAGTCTGAGGAGGACGTTGCAAATTGAGCAATCTCCTACCCATCATATCCCACACGTGCTCAATTGGGGATAAGTCGGGAGATCTTGGTGGCCATGGTAACAATGTGACATCATTATGTTGAAAGAAGTCTATTGTGACTCTTGCAACATGTGGTCGGGCACTATCTTGTTGGAAAGTTGGATCTGCCAGGGTGTCAAGATAGGGTAAAAGATGGGGTTCTAGAACTTCGTGGATATAACGCTGCGCGTTCATGTTACCTCTGATGAAGATTAAAGGTGACCTGGAACCATAAGCTGTAGCACCCCAAACCGTAACTCCAACACTGTGATGAACATGTCTTTCAACAAAAAACTGTGGATTCCTCCTTTCACCACGTCGCCTTCTAACCCTGGCACGACCATGGTGCATGCCTAAACAAAATCGAGACTCGTCACTAAAGACAATACTGTTCCATTCCTGATCCCAGAGTGACCGTTGTCTGCACCACTCAAGGCGATTACGTCGGTGTTCTCGAGTTAAAGGGAGGACCCAGTGTGGCCGGTATGAAAACAAGCCAAAACTTCTCATTCGTCGGTAAACACTTCGCATGCCAATAGGTCTTCCGTGTTCTGCAAACCATTCATTTGCAATGGACCTAGTAGTGGAGAAACGGTCCCTTAAGGCCAATAATCTTAGGCGGCGATCTTCACGGTCTGTTGTTCTACGGCGGCGTCCAGTGCCCCTTGCTCTTTGCGGACGGCCTTCTCGAAGCCATGCCTGACAACACCTAACCACAGTGTCTGCACTTCTTTGCACTCTAACTGCAATTGCCCGAAAAGAAAGTCCAGCTTGCCGAAGTCCCACTATACGGCCCCTATCAAACTAAGTTGACGAAATCGTACAGGTCTCCGTACTCTAGGCATCGTAACCGATCGTAAAGGATGTCAAGAACCAAAATCCGCCAACGTTGATTCTTTACTGCGGCTGAAATATTCATTTTTAGAGCGTTAGTGAATTAAAAAAAAAAGCAGTATAAAAACCGGAATGTCCAACTGATAAGGCTGAAAATTTTTTCACTTGTTATTTACAGTAAGATAAATACATTCACTTATATATATATCACTTAGTATATATTGATACTTCCTATACATTCTTGTATTCACGTCTAAATTACACATTCAAAACAAACTCTGCCTAAGCAGATACACAGTGAGTTGAAACTTTGCCAAAAATTTGAGAACTCACAACAATAATCATGTTATAAAATTTTGTGATCCAGGAAAAATTATATGAACTTGACTAAATAGAAAAATGAAATGTCAATTTAAGACTTTGGAAATCCTAGTCCCGTAAGTATTTTAGCTCTAATAGTCTTTCATTGTTTTAGGAATATCAAAAAATTCAGGAAGAACAGGGTAAATTAGTGCGATCCCGCCACTTGCAATACCTTTTAGCATTTAGCTACTGGCCACAGATCCTCCTCAGAGATCCAAAGAATATATGAAATACGTAGTTATGCCTTAAAACCAGGTACTATGATAGAATGGGGCAACAACTGGGCTAGAGCCATCAATTACAGACAAAACAACGATGAAGCATTTGCAGGGTTCTTCTCACAGATTGGGCGATTATACAATGTCCATCATATTTGGTGTAAGTAAAACAACCATGGCTACAGGTACATTCTGAGGTTTGGGACATTTGTTTTAAAGACACTTTAATTGTCCAGGTTTATTTATCATTCCCCAATTCACAGGTTATACCAGCTTGAACTCCAGAAAAATAACTAGAGAGAGTGCATGGAGGTCCCCTGGATGGGATGAGTGTGTAGCATACACGGTGCCACTGATCCGAGAAATGCATTGTCGTATTATGGTGCCAACAGAATTCTCACCGACACAATAGCATTAATACGTTTCATGAATCATTTTTCGCTAAATCTATACATTAATGTTAGGGTAAGTAGTTTTAGTTATATATAATTTTTCGGGGGTAATTTTATACATTTATATTTTTACAACTAAATGACGTAAACAACAATATTGCTGTTTTCTGCTGAATGTTACCATAGAGATACAACACAGAAGCGTAACTTAGATGTCATGAACCTAGGTTTCACGTATGAGTGTCGTTTTTAGCTTTCTAATACTGATGAACATTTGGAGAAAACCCCAAATTGTCTTTAAGAAGGCTAATGGCAGTAGAGAATTTATATAACAAAAATTAACTATATGTAACTGTAGAGATATTAAACATATGTAGAATAAACGGGATACATGTAACCATAACTTACGCTAAATATATTATTAAGACGGAAATGTATTTCTGTACTAGAAAGCTTGACATCTATGTATATATTGCAATTTTTATCTCACTTTTAGGTTTATGACTGATGGTGCTAGTGTTATATGCTTTATATTGGGATTTTTTAACAAAGTAATTTTGCAGCTATGTCTGTGTACCCTAACACTGATGTATCTTGTTATATCAAAATATTATGTATATTGATTTAATCTTTATATTTTATTCATATTTCATCAAATAAATGTACATTTGTATATACTTAATC